TGAGAAGAAAGTGGGAAGCGAGCGGAGGTGATGAGGGAGGATGTGAGACGGGGATGGAAAGTACCAGGTTGGGGGGGCGGGGAGGAGCACGAGGAGAAGTAGGAAGCAGCGAGCAAGAAGCAAAATGAGTTGAAGCGATGCACACAAGACAACCTGCATCGGTTAATAGGTGGGGAGCGGGAAAACGACAACCAGACCCGAAAACAAGAACGCTGTGACCTTCCAGCCCTTTATATAGGCTGCCGCCCCCCCCCTGCTCCTCCTCCTCCTCCCCTTCGATTTTCCTCCTCCACCTCCTCCTCCTCCTCTTCCTCTTCTTCCTCCTCCTCCTCCTCCTCCTCCTCCTCCTCCTACCCGCTCTTCGGCGCAGGAGGGCGACGTCCTCCCGGCGCCTGTCTCGCATTGTTTCACGGCCAGCCGCGTCGGGGATACTCCGCCCCCCTGGTTCTCGAGGACTGCCGCGGCGGCCCTCGCGCTGGCGGGCGTGGTGTCGCTTTCTGCGCGGGCGCCGAGTCCGTGGGCATCGGCGGCGCGCGCGCGCTCTCTGCGCGCCGCCTCCAGGTCTGCCCAGCGCGCCGAGCCCCTCGGCGCGCGCCCCTCGCCTGCAGAACAGCTGCTTCGCATCCGCGGCCGCCGCGCGCATCCACGGGCGCAGCGGGCCGCGCCCTCGCAAGCGCGGCAGCTCTCGAAATGCGCCAATGTGTCAGCCGCCTCCGGCGAGGACAGCTGGCATGCGCCATCGCACGCGCGGGCGCCGAGTGCCTTGCACTAGTCTCGCTCGACCTTCATCGAGCCTGCACAGCGGCGTCAAACACTGCCGACTCACAGTCGGAAGTGCTTGGACTGGGAGCGCGAGCGGACGCCGGACCTTTTCGAGCGCCGCCCTGCCATAGCAATGCAGGAGGCATGGGCTGCGAATTACTGGACGCAAGGGTACCCTTGATTTGGCGGGGTCGACCTGCCAATCAGGGCCGACTGTGTACCGAGGGTGCGCCCCAACCATCCATGATCGAACGCTGGGCCGCGCTCCTGCTGGCTGCGCCAGATGCGGCGCCCGTCCACGTGCCCCGAGCCTCGGCCTGCGTCGCGCGCCCCGTCGCGGGCCGCGCGTGCTCGGGCATTCGCGTTGCCTGGTGCGGCTGGCTGTCATATTCTCGGCGGGTGCGAACAAGAGTGGTTACCTGATAGGTGACTGCCAATGGGCACGTGCATTCGCGATATTCGTTAATGAGATAACGCGACGGCTGGGCGCGGCAGATGATAGCACCATGCTGTGAACTTATGTGTGGCACGTACGTGCATGCGGTCGCCGGATCTCCATTCCTGTCTTCTTGTCATGCTCGACACCATGCTATCTTTGGTTCTCTGTAGATCTGCTGACGTGGACCGCTTCTTGGCCCGTTTCGCCTGCCCATCTTGACGCCCTTCGGCTGACACATCGCCTCGCTAGGCGGCTCCCACTTAGTCCAGTAATCTCGACTCGTAGTCAACGGCGCGCATCGAGGCACTCGCCATGACAAGCTGATAACGTAGTCATGGGCGCTGTCGTGTCCACGCTATTACGATCTTCTGCCTTCAGATATGTGTCGAAGCCCGCTTTCCCGGTTCTTCGCGCTACGCGCGCTGCAACCTCTTCCCAGATCGCCAGACACATCATGATATACAAGACATAAACTGCTATCGCTGGACGCACCGCCGCCAACATGCTGATGCAATGTTGAATATGCTGCGCCTTTAGTTGTATTGCCATCAGCCGTTATCAGGCTCGTGCAGATATACGCGGTAACGCTCCAACAGACTCTCTCCCATACAGGCCCACGCTTTTTATTGCTCTGACACCATTCAAGCCATCATGTCTATGTGCCCACAATGACCCTTCCAAATCGCATGTGTTCCCTGTTTGCTGGGCATGGGAGCTTCCGTACTTGCTCGCGCCAAAACTTGACCCAAGCAGTGCCCCTCGCTGATCGAGCACCCGGGCGCCCTGTGACTTTCCAAACGCAGGTTCGGATTAGTTTAACATGATATTTCTGTGGGATTCTTCCAGGAGGCTGTGCCGTTGGACGGCCATGCCGTATGTCATGCCCCCCAAGAACTCTTCGTCTCCAACATCGTTTTGAGCCTTCTTCGGGCAACGGTGAGTCTTTGTCTGTCAGCCCTGGCAGTGGTGTTGCTTCTCGTCACCCTTGTCCCCAAATGTCGCGACGAGTAACTGTATGCGCTCTGAAACGTCGGTTTCAACTTGACCGCCTGGCTGCGTCAATGGATAATCCGTAGGTCACCAGTACGGCCGCTCCCCGAATGCGCGCTCTCAATGTTTGTTTGGGGACGGTATGCGTTTTCAGGAGACAACAGGAACCGCTCCAACATACCCTAGGCAATGTTACAAAATCCTCCTGCTCTGCCCTTTACTCACCCGCCCCCCTCCCTCTCCCCCTCCTCCTCCTCCTCCTCCTCCTCCTCCTCCTCGTCTCCGCCTCCTCTTCCAATGACTCCGCCTCCTCCTCATCCTCCTCCTCCTCCTGTTCCAAGTTCCGTCTCCAACGACGACGACGACAATGAAGGCGACCACGACGACAACGCTGCCACCACGACGCGGAAAACAACACCGACGCCGCCGACGACGGCGACGGGGGCGACAGCGGCGACGACGGGCCGACAGACCGGGCGCGCCCGAGGCGTCCATCCGCGCATCGTCGCTGGGGGCCGCCTCGCCATTCGCCGGGCTCCTGTGGGGGGCGGGGCGGCCTCTGGTCACGCCGCCTGCCGAGTGGACCGTCGCCGCCGACGCCGTCGCCATCGTCGTCGTCGTGGATGTGGTGGTCCTCGTCGTTATCGCCGTCGCTGTCGTTGTCGTGGTTGTCGTTATAGTCGTCGTCGTCGTCGTCGTCGTCGTCGTCGTCGTCGTCGTCGTTGTCGTCGTCTTGGTCGTAGTCGTCGTCGTCGTCGACGCGCCTCGGGGTGGATGAGGGGGTAATCGAATCAGCCACAGGCAGCAGCTACGATTGTGGGTGGAAAGCGACCGGGAGCAGCATCTGCATGCTGCAAATTTCGGCCCCCCTCCTTCCCAATCTCCCCGTTTGTTCACCCCCGACCGTCGTCATTGTGGTCGTCGACGTCGTCGCTGCCGTCGTCGTCGTCGACTGCGTCGCCGTCGGCGACGTCGGCGAACATCAAGGCGGTGGTCCGATCCGCCTCTCCTGTGGCGTCAGGCGGCTGAATCCCAGCCTGGCTGGGTGTGGGGGGGGCACCTGCTGCGCGCGTGGCGCCTTGTGAGCTCCAGATTCTGCACAGACGGGGGTTGGCTTCTCGGGATCTGGCGGCGCGGCCTCGCAGCAGTGCAGATCGTGTTGGGCTGGCTTTCGTTGGACCGGACAGTGCTGCTCTTCTGGGCGCGCACAAACATGGATTACGGATCCGTGGATCGGGGAAGGTGCAGTCGGGGCGTTGACCTAAGGAACCCTGAATGAGGAGCGAGGCCCCCTTTTTTCCATGAGTTAAACCTCGATTTCCCATCGAAGACATGCACGAAACCCGAGGCAAGCTGTGAAACAATGAAGGAACACGGAGCACCTCCCCAGCGAGAAGGGTTCCTTCTTCAGCGACCCGCCCGTACGACTGGAAACAGGAGGCCGCTGCCGCCAGAGTGGCGACGGAGCGCGCTGACTCTGCCCGGCAGGGGGGCCCGTCGCAAGATGCGGGCGCCATAGTCCATGCCTGCCGTTCCTTGACTCTCGCCACTCGTGCCAGCTGCCACGTCACGACGTCCTTCGAGAAAGAGGTCGGCTACAACATTGATTCACCCCTGAATTACCCTTAAAGTATTCTCCGTCAGCTCTACGGACAGTGCGTAGAATGCTGCGTAGATCGACGGGGCTTCTACGTATTCCCACAGATTCGACGAGCGCACAAGCTTGAGGCTTGAACCTGTGATGTAGTCGATCTCCTGCTCTTAAGACCCAGGGCCGACCCTTAAGAGGTCCGCGCGGAGCTCCGGGAGGGCCACAAACGTCGGCCCACGGCTCTCCTCATCTTCTCCTTCCTGTTCTCCCTCCTCCTCCTCCTCCCTCCTCCTCCTCCTCCCCCTCCTCCTGCCCCGCGGCTCCCCATGGCGGGACTTCGCTCGCGCCCCCGGGGCCGCGCGGCGGCCGCGGAGACGCCCGTCGGGCCCGCGCTGCGGCGGGCGCGGCGCCGAGCCCTCGAGGAATGAGGAGAAGCGCAGCGTGGACCGGCGGCGCGCCCGGGTTGGGCAGGAGGCAGCTACTGGGATGTTTTCGTCGGGAAGATTAAGGAGGATTAAGCCCCACTAGGGGGCTGTTACGCCAGAGTGGGCCTCGGATCAAACGGGATTGAGCCGGATTAAGCGGGATTAAGCGGGATCAAACGGGATTAAACAGATTTAGCCGGATTAAGCCGGATTAAACGGGATTTCGTTGGACTGGGGGGGGGCGTTTTGGGACGTTGCGCAGAGCACACGGTGCAGGGCAGGGCAGGGCGACGACGCCGCCGCCGCCGCCGCCGACGACGACGACGCCGACGCCGCCGCCGCCGCCGACGACGACGCCGACGACGACGACGACGCCGACGACGCCGACGACGCCGACGCCGACGCCGACGCTGGCGACGACGACGACGACGACGACGACGACCACGGCCGGCCGGATGGCCAGCCCACCGGTCAGCCCCGGCCGCACGAGAGAGAGAGAGAGATAGACGTGTGGCGGGCGACCGAACCGCTCGTCGCACCCGCGCCCGCGGACCGCGGACACGCCCAGCACCTCGGGTGCCTCCGAGCGGAGGGTGCGGAGGTACAGTCAACCAGGATGGTAAGGATGCGCGATAAGGATGCAAGGCCCTTGGACGCCCATTTCGAAACTTTTCGAACGGGGCGCGACCAACGAAAGTGGCCAAGGATGCACCGTCCCAGCCCGTGCCATTCTACACCACTCGGCTCCAGAGGGACGCCGCCGAAGTTGCCATCGAAAAGATCAACGAGTTGATCAACGCCCAGGGCTCCGAAGCGATGGCCTGGCTACAGGATCTCGAGACACGACATCACGACGCAGCGGGCCAACCGCAAGACCCAGAAGACCGCAACCAGCCCAGCACAGGCACCAGCTCCAATACATAAAGCGATCTACAGTCAACCCGTAGAATAAGGATGCGCGATAAGGATGCAAGGGCCTTGGACGCCCATTTCGAAGCTTTTCGAGCGGGGCGCGGCCGACGAAAGTTGCGAAGGATGGACCGAGGAGGCAAGGATGCAAGGGTAGCCTTGGGAAAGTTGCCCATCCTTACTATGCGGGTTGACTGTACAGCACCAGGACAAACCGACAAAGCAACAAGCACTCCTGGATGGGAAGATCAGCTTCGACAACACGACTCTCCGCCGTTGACATAGTTTCGGGCCGAGGTAGCTGACGACCGCGCCAGGGGTCACCGATCCCGTGTAGTGGGTCAGGTCGATCGCCGTGTCCTCCGTCGCGTGCGTGCGGCCGTTCGTGCTCAGGGAGCGTGGGTGCCAGGTCGATGGCGGCGGCAAGGCGGTCCCGTTCCTCTCGACAAAGGCCATCGAGCGGGCCTGCAGCGCAAGGACCTCGATGACCGCCGCCAACAAAGGCAGGAGCTTGGCGATGACGTGCATGGTCCCTCGGGCTGTCCGCCCGCGGGGTGTCCTCGCTGGACCGCGAGGAGGAGCGAGCTAGCCGTCGATCACGCCGTCGTTCTTCCCGTCTGTCGTGGCGAGGGCGGCACTTCCTGTGCGATGCACCGCGCTCGCTGCGAGAGGCAGATGTCGCATCACCAGGCATGTGCCAAAATCACCACAATGCACGGCGCAACACTGGCCCCCACAGGAACTGGAAACTCCACAAGAGTGCGAGAAAAGCTTGTGCGAGAAAAGAAGTGCTGTTCCGACAGGAGCGCACAAAGAATTCGGGATCTGGCCTCGGACTGGAGGTGCCCACTTTCTGTCCAGGGGAACAATATCATCTTGAGCCAAAACGGCTACGGAAGGAGGAGGAGGAGATGGGGAGATATGGAAAGGGGGAGCGGGGAGGAACTTGGTGAGGATGATGAGGAGGAGGAGGAAGAGGAGGAGGAGAAGGAGAGGGAAGGAATGAGAGGGTCAGGAACAGTAAAGTGACAAGGTTGAAGAGGAATAACCATATAATATAAAAGAAGAGGAGGAAAAGGAGGAGGAGGAGGAGGAGGACGAGGAAGAGAAGAAAGAGAGGGAGCGCGCATGATACCGCAATGATCCCTCACGTATATACAGACCCACATACACAACACAGAAACATACAAACACATACATACATACACACGCACACGCAGACACACACGAAAACACATGAACACACACACACACACACCAACAGTGACATCGTACCGGAACCTGATCACCACGGGGGGCTCCCCCCCATCGCCCCCCCCCCTGGCGTCGCTGCCGTTGGGTATCGCTCTCACAGAGATTCGATTCGATGATACTATTCCTCATCATCCTGCTCCTCACACCTGCCCCCCGCAACGCGGACTGCCTCCGCTGCTTCGATGAAGGACGACGCTGGGCAGGGTGTAAATAAGGTGCGCAGGCACGCGGACCCTCGTTTGAGGACCCCTGCGCAAATCGCTCCGGGGCCTGTTCAGGGATGGCGCGTCGTTCCCCCCCCCACCCCCCCGGGAGACGGAGCGGTGCGCAACGATTGTAGAGACCCGCATGCACGAGCTAGAAGACGGACGTATTATCCTCTTGCACAGCATGTCTGGAGCTCCGACCATTTTATTCCGCGTCGCCCCCCCCCCTCCCCCGCGTCCCCAGCGCCAGAGTGGGACTCCCGCGCCGTGGCTCTCTGCCCCGAGCCCCCCCGCGTCCCCAGCGCCCCAATTGGACCCCCGCCCACTGCCCCCTCCACCACGAACGCTTTATTCCGCGTCGCGACGCACACCACCTCCCCCACCTCCCTCCCCGCGTCCCCAGCGCCCCAGTGGGGGTTCCGCCCCGTGTCCCCTCCGCCCCGATCCCCCCCCCCCGTCCCCAGCCCCCCAGTTGGACCCCCGCCCCGTGGCCCTCTTCCCCAAGCCCCGCCCAGTGCCCCCTCCGCCCCGCCCCGACCATTTTATTCCGCGTCGCGACGCACACCACCTCCTCCCCCCTCATCTCCGCGCCCCCAGCGCCCCAGTGGGACCTCCGCCCCGTGCCCCCTCCGCTCCGAGCACTTATTCCGCGTCGCGACGCACACCACCTCCCCCTCCCCCCCTCCCCACCTGGGATTTGGGCCCCGTTGCTGGGCCCCGAGGGGCGATGTCTTGCCCCCTCTTCCCCCTTCCTGAGCCATGGCGCACGTGCCACTTGTTATGCGAACTGGTGATAACAACTGGGCGGGAGGGCTTCACCCCGACCCCGAACAAAAGGGCACTTCTCCATACGACCACCCCCTCGCGTCCCTCGAATATCATCATGCCTGAGGGAGTCGTCCATGGCAGCGAGCGAGGCGAGCGAATGAGAAGTGCAATTTCGCACAGGGGTGCAGCTGGCGGGAGTGGTTTGCACATCCCCCTGCCTCCTCCCCTGGATCTGGATGGGGGGTGGGGATCGCGGGTCGTCTCAGTGTTTAAGATGGCCCAAGACGGCTCCCAGATGGACCGGAACGAATAGCCTCCAAGATGGCACAATATAGCCCAGGATGGTTATCACCATGCCGCCAAGATGCCAAAACATCGCTAAGAGACGGCTCCAAGTAGCATCAGAGCCTCCCAGGGCAGCCTCAGAGAAGACCGAATCTTTCAACACCCTGAAAAATCTGATACAGCTACGAGCCCCGACCTTGGAGCGCAAATGTGCGTGATTTACGATCAAGAAGAATGGAAGCATGGCGATACAAGCAGGGCACCTCATTTGGGTCCCCATGCTGTCTGTTTGCCACTGGAGGCCAGATTTAGGAGTCCTTGCAGACCTCGCAGGGAAATGCTCATCGGGAGCCGTTTGTGCAAGGTGGGGGCGGAATTTGAAAATTACAAACACCAAAACTTGAAAAACAAATCCTTGAACACCGTCCGGGCAACAAGGTTGATTATCATGGTGTCGGCGGGTTCCCGCAACATTGTCAATTTGGACCTTCCGTCTGTGTCTGCGAAAGAAGAAGAGAGAGAGAGAGAGAGAGAGAGAGAGAGAGAGAGAGAGAGAGATACAGAGATAAAACGAAACATACAAAGATAGGGAGAGAGAGAGAGAGAGAGAAAGAGACAAATAGAGAGAGAGAGAGAGAGACATAGAGAGAGAGAGAGGGAGAGAGCGAGGGACAGAGAGAGAGAGAGAAGGAGAGCGTCTTCGGGATTCATCTCGCTTCGCAGGGTGCACGCCCAGAGCGCGCACAGTATGGGCGTTGTGGGGCCTTCTGGGAGCCGTTGATGGGCGCCTGGGTTATCAAGCCTCTTAGGCTGTATTGGGGCATCCTGGTGCCGTCTGGCGCAATCGGCGGCCGTCCTGGGCATCTTTAGGCCGTCTTGAGGTTCTCTTGGGGCAGTCGGGAGCTGTCTCTGCGTCGTCTGGCGGGCGCCTGGAGCGCCCGTTACTGCTCCCGCTCCCCCCCCCCCCCCCATCCCCCCCCTCTGGTAACGTTACGATTCGCGCAGGCGCCGTTTGGGAACTAGCGGGACGGCGCCAGCGCGAATCGTGACATTACCAGGCCCCTCCCACACCTCCCCCGAGGTCACGTCCGGTGAACATAATTTGTCTCCTCGTGCTATCGTGGAAGCCTCTTGCTTTGGGCCCATCATACGGGCCTGGGCAACCTTAGGGCCATCGTGAACACTCCAGACCCGCCCTGAGGTGTCGGCACCCCAGAAGAGGCGACAACGCTGAACTCTTTTTCTCCCACACAGCGCTTGTACTTAAGGACCTACTTCTTAAAGAACTGGATCGGTATTCCGGATTTGCGCCGCCTTGCCGCCCGTGTCGCCTCCTGGGCGCCCCGCGCTCTGAACTTACACGTCATAGCTTTCACCACGTAGCCCACACCATATAGCTTGCACCGCATGTATTAAACAACATAGCCAATATTCTGTAGCGCACACACCACACATTTCCGCTCTAACTCACACCGGGCTGCCTTCGGGCCATCTGGCGGGTGTCTGGTGTCATCTCGGAGCTTTCTTAAAATCGTAGTGGGCCCGTCGTAGGGGCCTCTTGGGCATTCTTGGGGCCATCTTGAGACACCCCAGGGCCGTCGTGAGGTGTCGCCCCAAGAGGCCCCGATGTGTCCCCAGGTGAGATCCCATAGGGCCATTTGAGAATCGTGTAGCAGCCCAAAACAACCCCAAGAAGGCTCCAAGAAGCCTTCAAGAGGCGAGCGACCCGCGAAGGCCTCTCATAGTCTGCTTATGGGCACGTGCAGCTCAGATCCCCTGGTCAAGCCAACTCGCTTGGCGATTGTGCCACCTGGATTACCTGGCGGGCATACCCGAGGCGTAGATAATCCCTTCCACGAGGAGGCGGTTTACGGGGATGGGGTGCACGGCAAAACTGCCCTCCCTTCCCTGGTGCATAGCACAGCGTCATCATCACCCCCTCCCTTCCTTAGCGCCACCACAGGCATCGAGAGATCACCCGCGCCGATGCGCGCGGCCGAGGTCTCAGACCCGTTGCCCGCCTACCGCGCTGGCTGCCCTCACGGCAGGGCGCCTTTCTCAGATAAGCGAGATCGATCCGAGCTTGCCGCACTGGAGAGCATTTTGCACATGCGAGGGCGACGGCGTGGTCACCCTCTGGCCAGAGGCCGCTCAAGAGAGGTCCCCAGACCCCTCCTGGGCACCGTCCCGACCCGCTTTCCAGGCTGCGCCTAGCCGTGTCCAGGAGGAAGCCCTCGGAGAGCTCGGAAGATGAGGCGGCGGTCGACGACGACTTGCCTGCGCACAAAAGGGGCACAGCAGGGCCTCCAATCGACTCCCTTGACGATCTCGCGCTTCGCGGGGGGGGGCCTCTCCACGACGACTCTTGCCGACCCCTGGACGACGGCTCCCACGACGACCTCGCAGGGGCCGATCCAGAGAGGCTCGTTCTGACGAGCCTCGAGGGCGAAGCTCGGCCGAGCCTCGCGTGCAGAGGCATCAGGACGGCAAGGTGAGGGGCTCTGGCGTTTCGGGGGGGGGGGGGCTGGACCTGGACCCAGGACAGATTTGACTACCTACCAAACCACCCCAACCCAACCCGAAGACCCGAATTTCGGGTGGGGGGGGTATGGGCTCCATACGTGTTTTTTCGATGTTCCCGGAACCCCCCCAACTAGAAATCGAGGGTAAATCTGAGCCTTCGGGTTGGGTTGGGGTGGTTTGGTGGGTGGTGAATTACAGAGAAGGGGCGCCCACACGACGCGGCAGCTGCTCCTTGGCCGTGCTGGCCGTGCCCCAGAGCGGCAGACGCAAGCGGTCATGTGCAGTCGGACCCGATTGGAGAGGGCACGCGAGAGGACACGCGACCCTCCCGACGGCTACAGCGCCATGGGGATGCAGAAGGTACGGGCCACGGCACAAGGCCGGGCACTCGGCCTCTCCTCGCGCCTCAGCCTCACCTCGGGCCTCGGCTTCACCCTGAGCCCGGGCCCCTCCTCGAGCCTCGGCCTTCCCCGTTGCCTCCTCCCCGGCCTC